ATGTGGGACAAGGAGAAACCCACCAAAATGATCTTTTCTCTTTTCCTAAAACCTAACCCAAAAGATTTTATTTTATTTTGAAAATATTCCCAACAAACCCCCACCATGTTCAAAATAGACTCAGATTTTTTGAAAAAGACTGACACGACAGGACCAGATTCCAAAATCCTTGGGGGTGTTATGCATAAGTAAAGGTGGAGTTTTGCACCTTGAACCTTTACGTAGTGAAAGTGTTCAAGCCTAACTAGGGTAAGAATGGTTGAACCAAAGTCATTGAACCATCTTCCTTTATATGTTAGACGGAAATCACTTCACGCATATCCTTCCTCTCATTCATTCAACCACAAAAAACCGACCCGTTAACTGGCCATGGGTCAGTATCTTGATTTCTCAGAATGCTTTTAGAGCCAAGCCCTTTAGCTCATAGGAAGCGGCCTCACTTCCACATTCAGATAGGTGGACCTTRTCAAGAGTGTCCCGTAATTTTAAACACTCCAACACAATATGTGTTACAAGTCCATTAAGAGTTAGATCAACCTTTCTTAACACTACGGTTCCAAGTTCTGCTAACCTTKGGATGGYTTAATAATATTGCAGACCTTTCAGTCMCATTCAAATGATGTACTTTAACTTAATCTTGAGTCTTGGTGAAAAAACCAAGTGTCAAGACAAGGTTCCATCATGGGTGACTATTTATAAGTGGGCTTGAGACCCATCCCTTTTGATGTGCTTTCAATCAATTTTCTTGGTAATCCTTTTGAAAGGATCGGCTAAGTTCTTACTTGATCGTAAGAAACTAATGGTGATCACCCAATCATTTATTAACTGATTTACTTGTCTATGCCTAAGTCCTATATGTCTGGACTTACCATTATACACTTGATTGTATGCTCTTGATAGTGTAGCTGCACTATCACAGTGTATAGAAATTGGTGGCATTGGCTTTGGCCATAAGGGTATGTTAAGTAACAAATCCCTTAACCATTCTGCTTCTTTACAACAAGAAGCTAGAGCAACAAACTCCGATGYCATGGTGGAATCAGTTATGCAACTTTGTTTCTTTGATCCCCAAGACACTGCACCTCCACCAAGTGTGAAAATCCATCCACTTGTGGATGCATAGTCTTCTTGATCATTGATCCAACTTGCATCAGTGTATCCTTCCAATACTGAAGGATATCCACCATATTCCAAACCAWAATCCATGGTTTTCTTYAAGTATTTGAATACCCGGTTTAYAGCATCCCAATGTGCMTTTCCAGGTTTACTAGTGTGTCTACTTAATCTTCCTACRGCATAGGCGATATCAGGYCTGGTRCATGTCATAGCATACATTAAACTACCAATAACTTTAGCATATTCATTTTGAGCTAATACCCTACCGGTATTAGCGGTTAATCTAGAACCTACTTCGAACGGAGTGCTRACAGGTAAACAATCAAATTTATTAAAACGTTTTAATATCTTTTCAATATAGTGAGACTGAGATAGCATGAGTTTATTGTTATTTCTAAGAATTTTTATTCCTAAAATARCATCAGCTTCTCCTAGATCTTTCATGTCAAAGTTTTGAGATAATAGTTTCTTTGTCATTTGCACTTGTTCTAAGTCGGTTCCAAAGATTAACATATCATCTACATATAAGCAGATGATAACCCCTCGACCATTAACAAATCGGCTGTATACGCATTTGTCAGATTCGTTAATCTTGAAACCATTAGATAGTATGACTTGGTCAAATTTTTGATGCCATTGTTTGGGAGCTTGTTTCAGGCCATATAAGGACTTAATAAGTTTACAAACTTTCTTTTCTTGTCCTTGAACTATGAAACCTTCTGGTTGCTCCATATACACTTCCTCCTCTAATTCACCATTCAAGAATGCAGTCTTGACATCCATTTGGTGAATTACGAGGTTATTAACGGAAGCTAAGGCAATCAAAACTCTAATGGTTGTAGTTCGTGCTACAGGGGCATATGTGTCAAAATAATCTAGTCCTTCCTTTTGTGTAAAGCCTTTTGCTACTAATCGAGCTTTAAACTTTTCCATGGTACCATCAACTCTTAATTTTCTTTTGAAAATCCATTTATTCTTGATGGCTTTTGAACCAGGGGGAAGGTCGACTAAGACCCATGTATTATTACCCATGATGGAATCCATCTCATCGTTGATTGCTTCTTTCCAAAAAGATGCATCATGAGATTTCATTGCTTCCGAATATGTGCATGGTTCTTCATCCAAGTTGTAAATTATTGGATATTCTTACATTGAACCATGTCGATCACCTTCAAGTAAGTACATTTCAAAGTCAGGTCCAAAGGTTCTTGCTCTTCGTTGACGTTTACTTCTTCTAGGTTCTATTTCTTGATGACTCGATGAATCATCATCTTCCCTTTCATTATTTGTGGGAATTGTTGTCGACACGATTTCTTTAGAAATCTCGTGTGCCTTTGGAATACTTTTGAACCTTTGTTCGTCAAATCGAGCATCTCTAGATTCTACGATGGTGTTAATTGAAATTTGATCATTTGGTTCAACCACCATGAATCTATAAGCTTTGCTATTTTGGGCATATCCCAAAAATATACATTCAATACCTTTGTCTCCTAACTTTCTTTTCTTGGACTCGGGAAGTCTTACAATTGCTCGACATCCCCATATTCGAAGATAATGTAGTTTAGGTGTCCGTTGATTCCATAATTCATAAGGGGTCTTTTGACTTCTCTTGTTTGGTACTCTATTGAGTATGTAACAAGATGTAAGTAATGCTTCTCCCCAAAATCCGGAACTTAATCCAGAATATGATATCATGGAATTCACCATTTCCATCAAGGTACGGTTTTTTCTCTCCGCAATACCATTTTGTTGTGGTGTATATGGAGCYGTTACTTGGTGAATAATTCCCGTAGATTCGAAATATCTAGGGTTATAATATTCACCACCCCTATCCGTCCTTAAACATTTTATCTTAGTTTCACATTTAAGTTCTACTTCATTTTTGTAGATCTTAAATTTTTCAAGGACTTAATCTTTTGAATGCAAAAGATATACATAGCAGTATCGAGAATAATCATCGATGAAAGTGGCAAAATACTTTTTGCCACCGAGAGAAGGAGTGGAGTGTAAGTCACATATGTCACTATGTATTAAGTCTAAGATTTTAGAAGATCTTTGGACTTGAGGGAATGGTTGTCTAATAATCTTAGTATGCATGCATGTAGGGCATTTTTTATTTTTATCATCTAATTTTGGAATTAGATCATTTTTTGCCATATTTTTTAATCGTTTAAAGTGAACGTGACCTAACCGACCATGCCATAATATTAAGGAAGAATCAAAGTAATCAGAAGTAGTACTAGTATTATTTGCATCTTTCATATGTACATCGGGAGCAACCGCATTATTTGCGTTGCTAGAGTCAAGCATATTTACATCATTCACACTACTATTTACAACATCATTTATGTTTAATTTAAACATTCCACCGGTGAGAGAGCCTTTGCCGATGAACTTTCCGCCTTTGGAGAGTATAAATTTGTCGGATTCGAAGACGAGTTTGAAGCCATGTTTGTTGAGGATTGGTCCGGACACCAAGTTTTTGCGAATGTCGRGAACATGGAATACATCATTTAGGGTCAAGGTGTTCCCCGATGTGAATTCCAAAGTTATCTTACCTTTTCCTTTAACTTGAGCGGTTGATTGATTTCCCATGTAAAGTACGGAGGTTGAAGCTTCGTACGTTTTGAACATGTCCATGTTGTTGCACACATGTCGGGTTGCACCCGAATCAACCCACCAAGATTTGTCTTCATCAAGTGAAAATGCCTCGGAAATCATAGCAACAAAGTTGTTGTTCTTGGAGTTTCCATCCTTGGTGTTGTCACCACCATTTCCTCTCCTCTTTTTGAGAAATCGACAATCGCGCTTGTAATGTCCCGGTTTATTACGGTTGAAACATATCACTTGTTTCATATTCCTCTTTTTCTTCC